ATGCAGCAGAAAGCGGAACGCGCCTATCTGCTGCAGATAGGGCTTCTGGCGTCGCTTGCTCAATGTGAAGCAAAGGTGCAGTAAAGATTTTTAAAAGCAAGCGGCTGCTCTACCACAATAAGACGGCCCATAGCCTATTGGATAAGGCGTCAGCCTTTCAGTCGCAGGTCCTGGGCTTGATTCTTCCAGGCCTATCTGCTGCAGATAGGGCCTCTGCTGTGTCTTTAATCCCTTCCACTCCAGCAGGCGGAGAAACGCGCCTATCTGCAGCAGATAGGGCCTCTAAGAGTTTTGATGAAATACAACCCCTTCCACTCCAGCAGGCGAAGAAACGCGCCTATCTGCTGCAGATAGGGCCTCTACTGTGTTTTGATGAAAGACAATCCCTTCCACTCCAGCAGGCGGAGAAACGTGCCTATCTGCAGCAGATAGGGCCTCTACTGTGTTTCGATGAAAGACAACCCCTTCCATTCCATCAGGCGCAGGAGCGCGCCTGTAGCCGTATGTGTGTGTGTGTGTTCTGTGTGTATGAGTCAAGAACCTTAATTTCAAAAAGTGGGTCGTTATTTTCAGGTGAGGTCACTGAGGTCGGTATAATTCATGTAGATTTATACGCATGTGATTGGAGATGGCCCTGAAATGGCTATGGAACATAAACCAAAAACCTGGGTAAATGCCGCGGGTCCCGTTCACGAGCCGTAGTCAAATAGCTTGTTGGTGTTCAGTTGGTCTGAAGATTCTCACAGCGATCCACTCAACACCACCGAATTTGGATACCCTTGGAACTTGATTCACCACAGGCATGGTGCAAAGTTGTACCGGTTTGACCAAATTGGTCTCACTGTCATTCACTGTCTGCGCTTTGTCCAATCGCCACCACGGGAAGCAATAGGCTGAGGTAAGTTGTATGAGTCATTATGAGTCTGTGAGCATCAGGAAAACTTACCACCCACCAGTCCTCTGCACCCCAACCAAAATAACCAAGGCCTGCCAGGCCATTTAAGGCCTGCCAGGATCCATCCTTTTCCCAATGAACGACCAATAACGACCACCATCAACTTCGCCGAGCGAAGGTCGCGAGATCTCGCCCATGGTCAATTGAACCATGTGATTCCATGGAACCATGTGGGGGGGAAGCCTACTTAAGTATGTGTTCCCTGTTTTGTTCAGAACACATGTGATCAAACAACACGTCAAGCAGCTTGCCATTGTACCACAAGACAATGCAGGCATTTTTGTGCTTCTCCTGCAGACGAACGGGCAGTCTCTTGCATTCACCGTCACAGCCAGGAGCTGTCCAATCTAAACCGTCACGGCTATGTGAAGACTGGAAAGCACCTCCTGACTGGGCGTGAAACAATGGATGGGGTTCAATCATACATGTGAGGCCCCAAACCATCTGAGCTACATATGATCTGTAATATCCTAGGTCCTACCTAGATCCTAAAACTCTGTTTTTTTGTCTTAAGAAGCACGGCATGTTCTCATCAGCGTTCCATGTGGATTCAGATCCTTTCAAGATCATAAGAGGGTGGCCTGGCTCATCCTACAGTACCGGGCTTCCAGATGGTGCCCCCAAGAAGGATCAGCTCCACGAACTGGCTTGTTGGCGAAGGAAGCACTGGACAATTCTTGTGCTGAATGAATGTGCTATCGGCTATATCATTTTAGCTCAACTTATCTGATGTCTTTCAAAGATGGAAAACCCCGGTAATGATCCGCAATGTCCCCCACACTACGTACAGTGACATTGCAAATTATGGATCCTCATTGACACGAGGTTCCTTACAACATCTACTGGAAACCGTTGTGAAAACTTCGCTAATTGATATGACTGGTCTTATTGCCTGTGAGCTAAGGTGGCATGGATGGTACGCACGTCATGACAGGTGTGCCCCGCTGCCATCATAGGAAGGGTGATCTGCGCTTGCAGTTGCCCGGCCAACCCTCTCGGACAACCCCTCTCGTGCAGTTGACGAGCTGAGCAGGAGAGTCCTTGTCGCCTGGAAGGTACATCCCTGCGTCGAAGAAGTTTTGTTGCTCATTGTTCCAAGAGTAGACTTGGATTGGACACCTCCGTGAGACAGCTGGAACACTACAGAAGTTTTCAAGAGTTTGGGCGTCAAATCCAGTGACCTATGGTTTTGGGGTTCCCAGTTTGCTTGTATGTCGTTTCTCGAGATATCTGAAGCTGGTGCCCACTTCCAGACAGGTTCCTGCTATTGGCTATCAAACGGTGTTTCTTTTTGACCATGATGGGATCCACCTTGAGTTGGTGTTTTCACCAAACCGGGTCCTGTCAACTTATGACAAACAACAACCAACAACTGCATGAACTCCACCTGTTCATGTCTAGTTAGTGGGGAATCCATCAAGAACAGTGTAAATCCACTTTTCCTGGATCCGGGAGTTCCAGATTTTGGAGAAAACAAGGAAGGTCTTTCGCGACTAAGTTGTACTGAATATATCGTGTAGAGTGAAGCAACATCGCTTAATACCCTCCTTGAAATCATCATGGAAGTGGATGGCACAACCCCCTGTTTTGTAGAGGAATATGGGTCATCCAACGGGCCATGCCATCCACATCCATGATGTCCAGGGAGTGCAAGTAGATTGAACAATCGAACACTCAACCAAAGTGTCCTTTGGCGTGTTTCATACCTCTCGAGCCGCTCGGGGAAGAATTGCTACTCTGAGCCTCAGACCGCTCTGGAGCTCTCTAAAGTCGAACTGAAAAAGAACAGACGGTGCAATTCAGGAAGCGCTTGTGACAAAAATGAACAAACATTTTCCATGTAGGTTCCCAACGTAAACCATCCTCTAGATATCAACTGACCACCATCTACTTTGTGCCAACACTAAACCTGAGTCCGGATGCATTTGCCATTTTGGGGGGGCTCGCTGCCCACATCATCAAAACAAAGGCCACAAAACGCACCCAGCACTTCTATAATTCTACGGACTCCGAATCTCTCCCATTCCGACCTTTCCAGGGCAGGACGAACCGGACATACATCGGTTTTCGCGACGAAAACGTGTCTCGGTCGCGCCCAGGTGCTGGATGAGATCTGGAAGAAACTTCAGACAAATCTCATCGCCCCAGGTCCGCCAGTCTTCGAGGCCGGTAATGTATTCATCCACCTGATGTAGGCCGTTTGGAGGGCCCCCCGACTTTGGAAGGCGAGGTGAGCAAGTGCGCATCCACTCAGATTTTTTTGGGGCGGAATAGCTAATAGCTATGCTCATTGGTATATCTCTAAACATCACTATGTTAACTATAGTCTCCGGGTATGCCTTAGCAAGTTTGTAAGCCGGCTTCTCTAAAACGCCCTAAAAGCTCGGCCAGGACTAAGCGGGGCAAAGTGGTGCAAACTGGGTCGTTCACATGACTTTCGACCTACGCAGTCCGCTAAGGACTTTAAATTGTCACAGAATCAAGAGATATTGGAAGTGCTTTCCAGTGAATACTGTCATCTGATCGCAATTCTTAAACAAAACCGTGTTCTATCCACTTGAGGATGACTACAACTAGTTTGGGTCATGGTGTCTTTTCACACTTGAACCAGGCCCGATGGGATTCGTTGGTGTTCGGCCCATGTGATCCCTTTTTAGGCACTGAGCTTCTGAAACACGCCTGCCAAACCATGAAATCGTGTCTTCGACTCGTGTGGATCGTAGAATATACATGTAGCGGCAAGCCGGGCGGTGATCCTATCCTAAGAGCAACATCATCGCTCCAGCACGCCATCGGTAAAAACAAGATTGTCCAACAACTCGTTCAGATGCTTCACTTCAACTGGCTCTTCAGCCCAAAGTTTCACCAGAGCTACGGTGCTGGTATAGTAGAAACTCCCCGTATATTGGAGGCGTGCAATCCCCACTGTTCACCATCCATCCCGGGGGGGGTCCGGCGGGGTGGAAGATCGTAGTTCACTAAGCCGTACCTCCAAACAAATTATGTAAAAACAGGCCCAGTGTTTACTTTATTTCAGGTCTCCAGGACACGCGCGTGGGACCGACTCCGATGGGCAAATCGATTCTGGGTTTTCGGGTTTGTGGAGGGGACACGAGTCCTCATCTGAACGGCCTCTTAGCCTGTGTGGTGAGGAATAGAATGGAATAATGGTGGCTGGATCCTTTTCCCGATTTCCCACTGAGCACCAGTCAATTAACCTCATGAAGTACCCTCCTTAGACTTCAGACAGTTCCAGAGTGTCCATCTCTTCCAACCAGAACCCTGGTTGGGCATCGGGTGTTTCACTTGAAGTGGACTGCAAGGACAACGAACTCCAGTGAGCAATGTTTATCCCCATAGATCTGTTTGTGGTTGATTCCCTCCGCGGCACAACCTTGGTGACCATACCCTTTCTCATAACTTGAGGCCAGGGGGAGAGGTCGAAAGCTAGCCGAATCGCACCGGATGTACTAGTTACATAGTCGGCAAAGCATGTAGGGATTACATGTTTTGGGAGGAAGGTTGCTATGTACATACTTTGCGCTAAAGAATGTAAATGTGACATCGCTGACTGGGAAGGGTACATTGGAACAACCCGGGTGCACTCGTTGGCAGGCACGAAGATGCGTGATCGGCAAATCTGGGGGGTAAATTTACCCTCCGCTTTTGTATGCCTTGAGTCGGAAAGAGGGGTAAGCATTTCTGACATCATACGGACTGTACATACACTAGGGCGTCCGTAGTGTAGGAGAAGCACGGGTAAAAGGTATATGGAATAGAGTGTCTTGAGGAAATAGCCGGTGTATGGTTATTGCAAATCTGGGGGGTAAATTTACCCCCCACTTATGTATGCCTTGTGCTGGAAAGAGGGGTAGGGACTGTGCATACACTAGGGCGTCCGTAGTGTAGGATAAGCACTGGT